CGAGGGAATGGGGTCAGACCGAGTCCGGCGGAGTGACCGGCAATATGTCTACCTCGCGAATAGATGGCTGCCCCTGGAGCTCGTAAATGCACCGGGCCACGTTTTTGTTCACTGATTTTCAGTGTTGCGTTGTGATGTGCGGTCTTGAAGACATGATTAGGGAAGCCAGCCAGCCAAGCTGTCCAGTCGGCCTGCAGTAGCATACTCGCCGCAGTTGAGTAGGAGCAGGCTGTTGGGCAGGCCAGGCAGCGCTAGCCGAAGATCTCTCGAACACTTGCGCGCTGCAATCCACCAGAAACACGGATCCCAAGTCATTGTATCGCACCGCCTCCGACGACAAACCCGGAGCTCGGCGCGTCTCCACAGTTGCGTTTCCTCCCGTCTCCGGCAGGCGGCGGCGCGCACCAACAGCCGCAGCGCGTACGAGCGGTTCGTGGCGTCCAGACATGACCACCATCCGCGAGTGCACGCTTCGCGGCCAGTTGCAGCTGGTGGACGGCGTCACGCCCGTCGACATCAGCCAGGTGAGCCGGCCAGCGAGATCGTCAAGCGCTTCGCCACCGGTGCGTGTGTTAGAGGCGTGATGAGGGGAGGGTGCTGATGAGGCGGGGATACTTGCGTTGTGAAGTGGCCCAAGGACGGGGGGGGGGGGGGGCAGGGCCGGCTGTGAAGTGGAAAGGAGGTGTGTTAATCGGTGCGTGACCATTGGCCGCATGGCTGAAGGTCAAGTTCAGCCGATAAACGGAGATGATCTAGTGGATGGAGACTTGTACTTCGTGACCTATGGCTGTTTTATATTTTCCTTACAAGTGTTAGGTTGTATATTGCAGAATGCAGCGTAAGTGGGCTGCAAAATGACGTTGCTCGTCAAAGCCCTTTCTGCCGCACTTCCGGTGGTCTGCGTCTGCTGACAGTTCGGTCTGTTCGTCGCCTAGAATCACTGATGATACGATAGCCTCACGATTGTGCAATACTCCCCCGCAGTGACAGCACGTTCACGTTGTTACACTCCACCAACAACGCTCTCCGCCTCCAGGCGCCATGAGCTTCGGCAGCATCTCGATCGAGACGCACACCTCGCTGGCCATCGCCATGAACCGCGTCGGCGGCAAGTCCAACACGGGCGAGGGCGGAGAGAACTCGGACCGCTTCATCGTCGACGACCCCAACTTCAACAAGCGCTCGGCCATCAAGCAGGTGAGCGGCGTCGGCGAACAGCGGCACCGCTGCTGAGCTCGTGACGGTGGTCTGGCTGCGGGTGCCGGCTGCTGCCTCTCGTACTGGATCAATCTGGACTGGATGGAGCAATCCACAGACATTCTGAATATGCTGCTGAGTGAGGTGCTGATCGTCGCTGTCGCTGAACATGCACTCAAACGAAATGGTCTTCAAAAACCAAGCATGCATATGTTAACAAGATGTCACTGCAAAACGCTGTATCCAAGAAGTCGCCAATATTATCTTTGACACTTTTTCGCCGGTAGTGTAACGCAGGAACATGGCTATTAAGAAGTGTACATCGAGGTTCCAGAGGCGGAACGCTGTCGTTTCGCTCGCTGTCGTCCGACAGAGGCCCGTAACGCCGTCGTTTCGCTCGCTGCCGTCCGACAGAGGCCCGTAGCGCTGTCGTTTTGCTCGCTGCCGTCCGACAGAGGCCGTTCTGCCTCAGGTGGCGTCGGGACGGTTCGGAGTGACGGCCACGTACCTGGCCAACGCCAACGAGCTGCAAATCAAGATGGCACAGGGCGCCAAGCCCGGCGAGGGAGGCGAGCTGCCCGGACACAAGGTCAGAGGGCGATGGGGCCACGATGGTGTCACAATGGTGGAACGGTGAAGTCACGACACATGATGTTTGTTAAGCACGGCGAATTGGCATGTTTAAAAGTGCGACAGGCTGGGGGTCGGGATCGGTAGTTTGGCGTGCCCTGGCTTTCTTTGGACACGGACATGCTCTGGTTAAATGTATTCATGCCATGATCGTATCCTGGTGCGAGCATCGGTGAGACTACCGTGGAATGGAGATTACTAAGAATATTAACGAAGTTGCTGAAAAATTGAATACATATGCGGCATGAAAAGTTTGCTACGTGATGCCGTGATACTGAGAAGCGGACGATGCGTGTGGAAATTGGTCGACGGTAAGGATAATGACCTTAGGCCTTGCACATAGCGTGCTGTCTTACGCCCTTACACTAACCGCGACGTCGTCGGCTGTTCTCGCATCGGAAGACAGGGCCGCCGGCTTTGTTTTGGGAGCACAACCCGGCCGTCTGTCAGCCGACGTCCCCCATGCCGATGCACTCTACACCAGTGGAGCTGTTGGGACGCGAGCGTCTGGTGACCCGTGACCCGTGACCCGTGACCACCGGCGCCAGGTGTCGGAGGACATCGCGGCCACGCGCCACTCGGTGCCCGGCGTGGGTCTGATCTCGCCGCCGCCCCACCACGACATCTACTCGATCGAGGACCTGGCCGAGCTCATCTTCGACCTCAAGTCGGCCAACCCGGAGGCTCGCATCAGCGTCAAGCTCGTCTCTGAAGTCGGCGTCGGCGTTGTGGCCAGCGGCGTCGCCAAGGTACGCGCTGGCTGAACTCGCTGGAGGTGCTGGGGCTCTGCTGATCACTCCCGGTGTCACTTCCTGCCGACTTTCCTGCTTGATGACGTTTTGCGAACGGATCGCGGGACAAAGGGCCGGCACCATGGCAGGGCTCTGGCTTCCAAAGTCAACTCTGGGTGGGTCTCGCAGTATAGATGGAAAGCATGAAGCGGGGCTGATGCTGTTGGGCTGAGCAAGCATATGTGGGCTGTCGAAGCCGCAGGAACGAGGTCAGACTACCGAACCAGGATATGGACCACGGCTGAATGCCGGAGAGTGTGCAGCCTGGGTCATCGTTGTTTCAAACTTATACAAGTACTGTCAGTCTGTTGATTCCGTCGTAGGGCGCTTATGTAAAAGTACCTTGGTTGCAGTTTGTGGACATCCTAGATATGATGTTTTGTTTTCTCACGACACCAATACACTTTCTCCTCACAACTTCCGACCACGTCACAGGCAAGTACCACAAAACATGGCAGAAGCCAGCCTCTGACCCGCCACTGCCCCCCCCCCTCCCCGGCAGGGCAAGGCGGAGCACATCACCATCTCGGGCCACGACGGAGGCACGGGCGCCAGCAGCTGGACGGGCATCAAGTTCGCCGGCCTACCCTGGGAGCTGGGCCTCTCGGAGACGCACCAGACGCTGACGCTCAACAACCTGCGCTCGCGGGTGGTGCTGCAGGTGGACGGACAGATCCGCACCGGTGAGCGACAGGCCTGGCCGGGTCACACAAGACGGCGGGTGGCCGGGTCACGCGCAGGGAGCGGGTGGTGCTGCAGGTGGACGGACAGATCCGCACCGGTGAGCGGCGGGCGTGGCCCGGTCACGCACCGGGCCGGCGAGCGGGGGCGCCGAGTGCAGACGCTGGAGTGTGCAGCAGGTTCACTCCGCGGTAGATTACCGTAAGCCCTGCTGACAACTGTAAAGATTACATCGTTCACCGCGTGTTTTCTCTGTCGTGATGTCAAACATGTCTGTGTGATATGATGTTATGTTTGACATGAGTCGCGCATGCGTGGCTCATCACGCGTTTTCATCTGTTCCATCACCCCGGCTATTTCTCGCCCTGCTCCACGCACGGCCACGTCACCGACTCTCCCCACCAGGTTTTGACGTGCTGGTGGGCGCGATCCTGGGCGCCGACGAGTTCGGCTTCAGCACGGCGCCGCTGATCGCGCTCGGCTGCATCATGATGCGCAAGTGCCACCTGAACACGTGCCCGGTCGGCATCGCCACCCAGGACCCGGAGCTGCGCAAGAAGTTCGAGGGCCAGCCGGAGCACGTCATCAACTACCTGTTCCTGCTGGCCGAGGAGGTAGGGCTGGGGGGTCGGGTGGGATTGACGTGATGATGTGGCAGGATAGGAGAGGGTAGGAAGGATAGGATAGGATAGATGAGATAGGATAGGATAGGATGTATGACAGGATGGAATAGGCTAGGATAGGAATAAGGTTAGGATAGGATAGGATAGGTGGATAGGGATAGGGAATAGGATAGGATAGGATAGGATAGGATAGGATAGGATAGGATAGGATAGGAAATAACCAGGATAGGGTGGGATGGAAATGTGATATTATTGGGTAGGGTTTGGTAGGATATGGTAGGATATGGTAAGATCTGATGGGATGGGATGGGATGGGATAGGCAGCGTCAGGGGAGCTCGGCCTGAACGGGTAGCCGCAGCGTCCGCAAGCGCAGGTCGTCCTCTGAAGACGACTTGGTGACGCCACGTTTATCTAGTATCTAGTAGTTTATCCAGTGCCCGGGACCCAGTGTATGAGTGACCCAGCGTGGGAATGACTTGAAAGTGCGTGCGACCCAAGTGAGCATGTGACCCAGCGACGCTGCATTGCTCCGAGAGATAAGAAATGACGTCCACGATTATGATCTTCGGACTATTCCCGTGACCTGAGGTCGCATACCGCCCATGGCTCTTGTCCGAGTCGCAGGCGTTTTATTTTGGGTGTATGCCAGATGCGACCCAAGCTTTTACTCGCACGCCGGTGATTTTTCCAGCACGATAAAAAATGCGATGGTTAACATGGTGAACTTAGCTCATTTAATGGGTAGTGGACAGTGTTAGGAAGCTGCCGTAAGGGTTCTGAAATCGCCCAGTCTTAATCATGCCCACCCTTTTGAATGACTCCTGGCGTTTGCAAATGGACACCATGCAACGTGGCTTTTTAGGTGCGCGGCTACATGGCCAAACTGGGCGTCACCAAGTTCAACGACCTCATCGGCCAGACGAAGTTCTTGCGCATGCGCGACGACCTGCCGCCGAAGACGAAGCTGCTGAACTTTGCCCGGATCCTGCTGAACGCTCAGGAGCTGCGTCCCAACACCAGCATACTGGGCGGGAGTGTGGCTCAGGTGGGCTTCCAAGCCCTGCACAGCGGCGTCACCTGGCAGGCCGTGACTTGGCGGTTCAGCTAGATACGAATCTGATGGGCGTTTGCGCATGCGTCTTGCTGTTGACTGAGACGCGAGGAGTCTATCTTCTGTTGCCCTGGAGCTTTTGGTCTTACGCCCTGCTCAGCCAGCCTGTGTCAGCCTGTGTCAGCCTGTGCATCTCATCCCGGCTGTATGTGGTTATTGTTAATCTGCCGTCCAAAGGCAGAAAGGTCTAAAAGCCATCAGCAAACATAACTCGTCAGCCTTTTTGCCTTTGGACGGTAGCAGTGGGTGGCGGCATTGTTAAGGTTGTTGTGCGTGTGGCGTCAGGCTTTTCACTTTCCTGAACAGATGATAGCGAATAAGGGCCATCAAAAGACAGTTCATTTGACTGATGTCACCTGAACTGCGTTTCCCAGAAGCCCCACACTGCCTTCGTGAGCAACTGCCAACGTGAGCGATCTATCGATTGTCTTCCATTCCACTGTTGGGGGCCCCTCTCACTCTCGTCACTCTCCGCCGCTCGCAGGACTTCAGACTGAGTGAGCGCATGGAGGAGGGCATCATCAGCCAGTGCATGGACGTGATTGAAGGCAAGACGGACCAGGTGCACATCGACAGTACCATCTCCAACAACTGCCGCACTTTTGGAGCCACCCTCAGCTGTCGCATCGCCAAGTAAGGAAGGCCACACCCTGAGCTCTCGGTACCTTATCGTGGGCTCCGTCCGTTGTGTGTCTGTGTGCGCGCGGCTAACTGGGTGTCCTCTGGGGAAGGGAGGCCTGAAAAACAGATACGTCCACCCACTGGTCGTGACCCTGACCGGCTGGCCTCTCCTCACCAGGAAGCACATGGACGCGGGCTTGCCGGACAACAGCATCCAAATCAGCCTGAAGGGCTCTGCCGGCCAGAGCTTCGGCGCTTTCTTGTCGAAGGGAGTCCACCTGACCCTGGAGGGCGACGCCAACGATTACGTGGGCAAGGTGAGCTGCAGCGGCTCTGGGTACTGGCTGGTGATCGTGCCGTGGAGGAAATCGCAGAGCTCAAATGCTGCCTCCTGGGCTCAAAAGGGGCTGAGCTCAGAAGCTTGCAGCTCGTTAGCTGAGTGCTCCTGGATTTGCTGAGTTAAGCTTGCTGGCAAGAGCCAACACTGAGGAGAAGCTGCCCAGTGTTGCGCCTTTAAAAAGTCATGCAGATAACCAGTACTTGACACCGCCCTTTATACATAGTGAATGTTTCCACTTGAACCACTTAGCCAACCAAACGTGCTCCAAATCGGCCGCCTTTTGAGCCACCGACGGCTGCTGCACAGTTCCCCACTCCGAGCGGGGTCACGCGGTGTGCTGGCGCTCCCCGCGTAGCCGCTGGTCCCCTGAACGCCGCCTGCCCGCCGGCAGGGCCTGTCCGGCGGCGAACTGACCATCTACCCGCCGACGGGCATGTCGGAGTCATTCCGCTCCGACGACAACATCATCGTAGGCAACGTGTGCCTGTACGGAGCCACGTCCGGCCGTGCCATGATCCGAGGCCAGGCCGCCGAGCGCTTCTGCGTCCGGAACTCGGGCGCCACCGCCGTCATTGAGGTGAGTTCCGCCGCGGGAGACGAGGCTGGTGTCCGCCGACACTCCGACATTTTATGTTGTAATTGCCACAAGAAAGCGATGCACAGTCGTTGCTAAAAATCCGGGAGGTTTATCTCCCTTTACGTGTATTATTTCCTACATCCCGTATCTTAACCAGTTAATTCCAATCTCTTAAAGTTAAGTAGCCATCATTTGCCACCAACAAAGGCAAAAGGCCCCGATCTTGTGACTGGTCTGCGTCAGCTGAACACCACTGCTGCGTCCCCGTCCGGGGCCGTTGCCCGAGTGTCCTGAGACGGCGCCACCTGTGCCGGCAGGGTGTCGGCGACCACTGCTGCGAGTACATGACCGGCGGCCGGGTGCTCATCCTCGGCGCCACGGGCAGGAACTTCGCCGCCGGCATGTCCGGAGGCATTGCCTACGTCTTCAGCGAGGTGGCCGACGACTTCCACCAGTAAGCGACTGGTCGGATCAGATCTGCAGGCAATTGACATGGAGTTTTGTGAGATTAAAAATTGGTATTCTTCACGTGCTCAAGCGTTCTGACCAAAAGAGGTACTTAGAAAAACGCGGATATGTATGAGTAGGGTAAAATAACTTACTGCCTAAGCAGTAAACTGTTCCTCTTCTTCGCTTAGTCTACCATCACTGTACTTGTGGTCTTGTTTTTTCCCGCATGCTCAGCGCAGGCCACCTTCCCGGTCATCTAGACTGACGTGTGACCCGTGTCTCAGGAAGTGCAACATGGAGATGGTGGACCTGCTTCCCATGGACAAGGACGAGGACATCATGTTCGTGGAGGCCCTGCTGCGGGAGTTTTCCGAAAAGACGGGCTCCAAGGTAGCGCTCAAAATCCTGGAGAACTGGCCGGAGAACGCCAAGAAGTTCACCAAGGTGAGATTCGCGACACAGACCGGTTCGGAACGGCGACTGTGCACCGCCTGGAACGCGATCGGGAACTGCTTGGCACCCCGTCCGTTCGAGCTAGTGTGTCTGGCAGGCCGCCGTGAATGCCGAGCCGAGTGTCACCTCAGCTTCCGTGTCTCTTCCAGGTCTTCCCGTACGAGTACCAGCGGGCCCTGCGCCAGCTGGCCGAGGCGGAGTTCAAGAAGAAGCAGCTGGAGAAGCGCAAGGAGGCCAAGACCGAGTCGGACGAGGAGCCGGACGTGCTGGACATCGAGGACGCCATCACCGACGCCGAGAAGGAGGCCAAGATCCTGGTCAAGCTGGACAAGATGAGGCGAGTGGAATGATGGTGGTGTGGACCAAGAGTAGATGCGTGGAGAAAGTATGCCATTGGAGATTGAAACGGCGAAGGGCGGATAAAGCATAATAATTACAACATTTACATGCATAGTCTTGCCAAGGTTTTGAGCGCATGGATTGTATGGCTCCCTGCGAATGTTTTTTATTTCTTTGCGATGTCATGAAAAAGGTGCTTTCCCATTTCACCTGCTGCAGCCCTCACACGCATCAGCCTCAGACTGTTGCGTATACTTTGTCACGTGACCATGCACGGTGTCGACAGGGGCTTTATGAAGTACGACCGCGAGAAGGTGATGTACCGGCCGGCGAGCGAGCGGATGCAGGACTGGGGCGAGATCTACAGCCACAAGTCGGTCAAGAAGGGGCTGCGCAGGCAGGCGGCTAGGTCAGTCACACCGTCGTCAGCTGGCCGGCCGCGGTCACTCGTTCCCTCCAAAGGCCTGGGAAAGGCACCGCGCCAGCGTCGTGAGTTCACACAAAACGAGGTTCACGTCCGCATGTCAGGCGCGACATTTGGTCAGACGTGAAGCATGGGCCGTGAGTTCGCTCCTGCGGCGTTACACCCTTAAAACAGCTCTAGAGTAGCCTCAGAGGTCATACATACGACTATCACGTCGGTATTGGTACACGTCAACACCTACGGAAAACATGGGCTCGGATCCAAGTGAATGTGCCTCCCGCTGTCTAATGCGACTCGCTCTCACCAGACCCGCTGTCTCTCCGCCTGCAGATGCATGGAGTGCGGCACCCCGATGTGTCAGAGCACCACCGGCTGTCCGCTGGGCAACATCATCCCCAAGTGGAACGATCTCGTCTACAAGGGCCTCTGGCAGGAGGCGCTGGACCATCTGCTGCAGACCAACAACTTCCCGGGTGAGTTGGACGTTACTCGGCGACCGTCCCAGGCTCGGGCGTATGACAGTAGTCTGGAGAAGGATCGATTGCTGTAAAGAAAATGGTGTCGACCTGATGATCTGTGCAAATGCATAAACATGCTGTAAATAAGTGGATGTGGATTGTTATTGAAATACGGAGGGGAGAAAACTCGATAACTTTGGTCGTTCGCGTAATTAGGTAGTTTTTGGAGGCTGACGCCTGCCTCTTCGCTCCCCTTTTTCCAACCTTTCCACAAGTATCCGATCTCACGCGTTGAAATCTCCGGCGCCCGTCCCGACCCCCGTCCCTAACGCGCTGCCCAGACCCCCCGTCCGGACCCCCGTCCCTAACGCGCTGCCCAGACCCCCGTCCCAACCCCCGTCCCTAACGCGCCGCCCAGACCCCCCGTCCCGACCCCCGTCCCGACCCCCGTCCCTAACGCGCTGCCCAGACGCGCTGTCCGGACCCCCCGTCCCCTCCGTCTGCGGTACCGGTCGCCCGGTCTTCGGCAGAGTTCACGGGTCGCGTGTGCCCCGCTCCATGCGAGGGCGCCTGCGTGCTGGGCATCATCTCGCCGCCGGTCACCATCAAGAACATCGAGTGTGCCATCATCGACCATGGCTTTGAAATGGTGAGGCGACTGCGCGGACAGAAGCCATGGAAATTAGAACTGGGAAACTGTGGCTGTACTGCTGCTGCAAAACGTTTTACAGTTTTCTTCTACACTGCATATTTCGTCTGTCTGTTTTGATGCTGGAGCACGTTTGCTGGGACGTCGATGAATCGGGACATTATTTTTACTAACTCCGCAGCGTAAAACAGCTTCATCGCAGGAGTGGTTTGGCTATGCCTGACGGACGCATTTATTTTGCCTTGAGTGCCGACCCCTGTACTCCTGCCCGGCCCGCTGGCTCCCCGCGGCCCTGTGCCGCTGACCCCCTCCCCCCTCCCGCCACCAGGGCTGGATCCGTCCGGAGCCCCCGCTGACCCGGACCGGCCGACGCGTGGCGATCGTGGGCGGCGGGGCCGGCCGGCATGGCCGCCGCCCACCAGCTCAACAAGGCCGGCCATACGGCCGTCGTCATGGAGCGGAACGACCGCATCGGCGGCCTCCTGCAGTACGGCATACCCTCCATGAAGCTGGACAAGGAGGTGGTGCAGCGGCGCGTGCGCCTGCTCGAGGACGAGGGCGTCGCCTTCGTCACCAACTGCACTGTTGGTGTTGATGTCAAGCCGAAGGTGGGTAGGGGACGGCTGAGGGTCGCGGCGGGGTCAGCCCTGGCCGGCCGTGGCAGGGACTATGGGCGGAGGCTAGGAGGAAGTGGGTTGTGGTGGGGACGAGGATTCCTGACACTGGTTTCGCTTCTGTCCCGGGCTAGGGCGCTACCACCCTTTGCGGCCTTCAGCATTCCGACTCCCATTACTGGCTGTGAACCCTTAAAACAGCTGCTGCTCGCGGGTTTTCCAACCCGCGTGACAAGCTCCACGGAGACTAACGCCAGCATCGGGGCCTGGCAGGAGCTGATGGACGAGTACGACGCCACAATTCTGTGCACGGGCGCCACGTGGCCGCGCGCGACCTGCCGATCCCCGGCCGCAAGCTGGACGGCATCCACTTCGCCATGGAGTTCCTGGAGACGTGGCAGAAGAAGCAGATGGGCAACGAGATCGACGAGTCGCGCCTGCTGGCCAAGGACCGGGACGTGATTGTGATCGGTGGCGGCGACACGGGCAACGACTGCATCGGCACCTCGCTGCGACATGTATGGAGCGGGCGGGCCTCGACTGCCGCTCGCTCACTCACTCACTCACTCACTCACTCACTCACTCACTCACTCACTCACTCACTCACTCACTCGCTCGCTCACTCACTCCTCACTCACTCACTCACTCACTCACTCACTCACTCCACTCACTCACTCACTCACTCACTCACTCACTCACTCACTCACTCACTCACTCACTCACTCACTCACTCACTCACTCACTCACTCACTCACTCACTCGAGTTCTCGCTCACTCATTTCACTCACTCACTCACTCACTCACTCACCCACCTCACTCACCTCACTCACTCACCCACCTCACTCACTCACTTACTCACTCACTCCTCGCTCACTCCAAAATTCACTCCGACGCTCACTCACTTCAGCACTCACACATCTTCAATGTTGCTGTGGACTGCCCGTCTGTTCATTTGTGGCATGTGTGGTGTTTTGCCGAATACTCCGTATTGGATGGTCGGTGTCGCCAAAAGTGCGAAATCCCTCCTAGACTGCTGACCTAATCTGAGCTCTTGAGCGGACTGGCTGCGCAGTGTGGCTGCGAAGAGTGCGGACTTCAAAGGATGACAACAACTCGGAAGATGCAGGAGAGACGAGAAGCGGGGCGTGCTCCGCCCTTCTGCTTCGCCCCAGCTAAACCCCAATCATCATCATCATCATCATCATCATCAGCTGACGATTCCCTGTGCTCCGCTACGTTCCAGGGAGCCCGCTCCATCACGGCGTTCGAGATCCTGCCGCAGCCGCCGGACACGCGCGCTCCCGACAACCCCTGGCCAGAGTGGCCCAAGGTGTTCCGGGTCGACTACGGACACGAGGAGGTCAAGGTATGACGTCATACTCCCCCCATCGACACTGAGGCCCCGCGTCATGCTATCTGTGGAGGACTTTTGATTCGCTACTGCTCTTGTTCACCGATGACGCTCCTGTGTGTGCGAGGGTGGTCACCACTGACGTCTGATTTTTGCCATTCTGTAGCCGTGACGGTACCACGAACTTTTGAGTTTCTTCACAGGCGATCTTAAAGCCTTAGCATGGTGTGACTCATGCTACTTCTGTCTTGCACCCTCAGTACTTTTGCACATATTTTAAACTTTTGTCGTCACTGGGCGTCATGTCGGAGCTCTCAACAGTTAAAGACGCGCGCAGACGAAGTGGGCACCAACTGACCTGTATGCACACGCCATCATAGTAGTACCACCAATCGACCTATAAGATCATGCGTATAGACCATGTTGCCCCCAGCTAACCTACGTATACAAACCACGAAATCACCCGTCGCCGGCAGACCAAGTTCGGCCACGATCCGCGCCACTACTCCATCATGTCGAAGGAGTTCCTGTCGGACGACAACGGCCGGGTCTCTGGGATCCGCACGGTCCGGGTCGACTGGGTCAAGGACGACAACGGCCGCTGGCAGCTCAAGGAGCTGCCTGACAACCGAACAGGTGCGGCCGCCGAGCGGCCGCGAGCGAGGACAATGCCGGGGGAAACTGGAGGGCGTGGCTGTGGTGCAAATCGGGTATCGATGCGGTCGGTGGATTTCCGACCATTGCTATGCATTGCGTGTCAGTTAAGGTGAGGTAGCGCTTGGTCCCATAGGGCACATTGGGTTCAGCTGCCATTGGCGATGAACGCAGACATTGGCGTAAGTTCACTCTGCCAACGAAATGACTCACGATCAGGAGAGGTTCGCTTGCGAAAAGTTCATCAGGTGGTATGGCTGGCAAGAAGCGCTTATCCGTAGCAAATGCCTGTCATGACCTCCCCCTCCCCCTTCCCCTCGTTGGCAGGTGTTCAAAGCGGACCTGGTGATCCTGGCCATGGGCTTCCTGGGCCCGGAGGCCGACATCATCAAGCAGATGGAGCTGGAGCAGGACGGCCGCTCCAACATCCGCACGCCCGACGGAAAGTACTGCACCAGCGTGCCGGGCGTGTTCGCCGCCGGAGGTGAGACGACTGGGCGTGCCGAGCCGCGCGGCCGGCGCCGTGCTTGTGCGCCCAGTTTGAAGGCGAGTGCTTTGGTCATGGCGCCCTCAGAGTCGAAGTGAACGCGTCGCGATCCTCCGCGTGGCTGAGTTAGTCCAAGATGCCGGCACAGATGGGTGCTGTGCGCTTGACTCCCGCAGGAAGCCAGCATGGACTGGGCTCTGAGGCTCGGATGTGGTGTCTGTGTGACCGCCTTTAGCAGTCATGCGGTCTCCAGTCATGGATATGGTTATGGAAACTGTATCGGCGGTCGCCACTCCTGATGATGTGCCTCGCGCTCCGTGGTTAGTCAGTGATTGGGCAAAAGGTGCACTTTAAACAGCTGGTTTAACGTTATTGGCACCAAACTGCGGGGATCGCTTCGCGTACCCCGGATTGCGACCTCCGGCCTCCACATCGCTCGTTGAGACCCTCCTCACGTCCCTTTCAACATTCCCCGTCCCCACTTGCCTTCACACGGATCACTACGGGCGCGTCACTAGGCCACCAGCACGTGCGGTTGTGCGGACGTCTCGCGCAGGTTCTCCGCCGGCGGGATGGCCCCTGACCCCCGCCCCCCCCCCCCCCGCAGACTGTCGGCGCGGCCAGTCGCTCATCGTGTGGGCCATCTCGGAGGGCCGCCAGGTGGCGCGCGAGGTGGACGAGTTCCTCTCGCAGGGGCTCACCATGCTGCCCGGCCAGGGTGGCATCATCCGCATCCCAGCACTGGGCGAGAAGAAGAAGTGGGACCCGCTCGAAGACTACGAGATTCCCGTCTGAGTCGCGCCGCCGCCGTCGGGGCGCTCAGCGGCGCTAGTGTAGCGGGCGCGGCGCGGCTGCGCGAGGGCTCTTGGAGCAGCGCGTCGGTGAGCTTAGTTCCCCGTGGGTCGTGTTCGTGTGAGGCGCAGGGGAGGTGCAGGCTCCATGCGGCCGGACGCCAACGTAGTGCAGTCTCGGTGCCCGCCGTGCGCCGGCTTAGAGTCGTTCGAAACGGCGCTCAGAAGTCTAGATGTGTCGTAGCGCCTGCCCAGATCGTACCCGCGTTGGTAAGGTTTCCGTGATGAGCGTTGCCATGGTCACCAAGCGAGGCCACCGACGGTGATGGGAGGCGTCGGCTCACTGAGCATTGCTTCCGAGTTTGGTGTGGCCGGATAGTCTCTCCGATTTGCTGCGTTTCAGTCCACGGCTGCGGTGATTGATGGCCGGTGTTGACCTTCGTGTGAGCGCGCGGAAAGCATGGGATGCGTCAAGCACGTCCACGGTTTTGGGCAGTAGTGCAGCCGCTTTATATTACGAATAAACGGTTTCTCGTCACTGCAGGACCGTGTCCATCAATGCTGCTGTCACGCTGTAGCTGTTCGTGTCCTGCTGTGGCAGTTAATGTCTTGCTGTGCCTGCTGCTGTCGTGCTGTGGGCTTCTCTCCGGGCAGCCCGCAGCGTACCGTCTTCCAGCCCCAAGCAGCCCACGACACACGTCTCCCGGACCCCAGGGTCACTGTGCGCGAACGCGAACTACGAGTCAAGTCTGTTGTAGGATGACATGGGAGTGAACGAATGTTAGCTGTTGTGGCTGCCTCATATATAAAGCAACAATAATACACGTACTCGCGTGGCGTCGTGCTTCAGTTGATCATGCTATTAGAGCCGGCTTTCAAAACCTCGCAAGGTTGCCTGGCTTTGGTTTGGATTGTGCTAGGTCTGCGAATTGGACTCGAATGTCACATTATTTCACCGCTATATTGCGTCCCACAGCGACACTGCTCTTCAACTGCATCAGCGCTCTTGCTCTTGAAGGCTGCGTAGAGACCCATAAAGTGCGTGGTTGCCGGGGATTCTTCACGTACGCTCCACACGATGGCTGAGCCAGGGCTCATGACCTCGAGACAATTCAGCCGGCATTCGGGATGGGTGGAGAGCCTCCTTGAGGGGTCAGGTGATGCGTTATGTCGGCAAGACCGCAGCTCGAGACACGACGTTTGTATTGTGTGCGTGACATCAGTGCATCACACCAGACCGTCGCAGCAGCCCCTGACGCCGACGCAGTGCAGCACGCTACCTTCGTGGGCTGCTTCCTGATACATGGACGACCATTTGCCGGCATATGTTAATGAACTGTTGGTGTGCATTTATAGACAACACAGCAACAAAAGAAAATAAAACAATAGGGATATGCAAATGGGCGAAATGATTTAGGACGCGTAGGTGCTACGTGTACAACACCTCACTGCTGTGCTGACTGCGATTTTTTGTATCTAGGTCCGTGATTATACGCGTCGTATCCCGAAACACAATCATACACGCGTGCAAAAATGCTACATGCCAGGTTGATATCTTCCCAGCCCGTTTATTCAAGCGCTGAGTTTATTGTCTGCGGGGTCTGGCGGCGTTGCACAGATATTTTTCTTCAGAGTGGGGGAGGAGAGGGGGAGGGGGACGTTTAGGATTACCAGAGCAGAAGCCCGTTTGGCAGCCCATCTACAAAGCAACATTTGTAGATCCGAACAACATCGTCCTGATCTTCTCCCTAGAGGGGGGGGGGGGAAGGGGCGCCGTGTGTTGCGTTTTGAAATGTGATGTGCGTTGTCAAATACGAGGATCTAAAGGCAAAAGATGCTCTGATTTAATCTCTTTATCCCGCTAGCTGATAAGACACGCATTTGACAGGACAGAAGACATTCTCCGCAAAGACCGAAAGGACTGAGAGCGTGTTCCACGCTCCACATCCACCTCTGGGACGTAGGATCCATCACGAGTGGAGAATGTCGTGAAAAATCGATGTTGCCAGGCTGTCTGAGCAAACGTCTTCTGATGTGATGATGCTAAAATTGCTTTCTCATGAGAAATGGCCTACCGATTCCACACTGCTCAGAGCGCGTGGATGAGTCCAATCTCGAAATCTACTCATCGTAGTAAAAAAGTACTGTTTGCAAATTGTAGAATCCTAGCTTCTCCTGACCTGTGAATGAAGCGCATGATGAGGCCTTCCAAGACTCGTCGCCGGCCGCAGCCGTCTCTCCTCAAAATACTGCAGATATTGCTACTGTTCTCTGAAATTCAGCGCAGTGGGACTGGTGCGATCGCATTTATCTACATTTCCTTTGCCATTCTAGGTTTGAAAGGTGCTCTATCCCCGTTTGCGTCTCATTCGTCCGCCCTTATCTACATCCACATGACGCCTTCACTCAGTCCTTCTTGGCGCTGTCTTCACCAGGAGTCATCGCTTTAGGACACCGCATATTTTGGAGCGTTTTTGCGAGCAACGCCAATAAGGCGCAATGTTATATCCGGTAAAGTTGGAGCATCTCGGCTCTGTTCCCCGTGACGAACACGAAGCCCCAACCTTACTGCCCCTATGCGGTGGAAATCTCCACACGCCATACTGCACCTTTTCCAATTCCAGACATCACATTCCAGAGTCCTGTGGACTGCACAACCAGCGCGCCCCGACGCCAGCGCCACCTACACCGCCGCCAGCCAACTGGCAGCCAAGCCTGCGGCGGGCCGCCGCCAGGAGCGCGCCGGTCGACCGGGCGGCCGGGTGCGGCGTGCCGCCGCGCTGCTGGTGGTTGTGGTGGCTTAGGCCGTGCTGGCTCATCTCCCTGCGTCGGCCCATGGTGGTATCGCCACGCAGCCTGTCCATGTCGCGCGACAGGCTCACCCCCCAGCGGAAGGTGTTGGAACGGACGCCGCCCGGTCGCTGCGGTACGGCCGGGCTGGCTGGTGCGGCGGCCGGCCGCTGGGCGGCGCCACGGACGCGGTCTGCCACGGCCGGGTCGGCCAAGAAACGCACGCGCCAGCTGGATTCCCGCAGGCGGTCGCATGCTCTCTTCGGCTGTAAGGTAAGCACGTCCAGAGAAGCGACCACCTCGAAGAAGTCCAGACAGCGACAGCCCAGCCTGTTGGTAGAAAAATGTGAATTGGATATCGGCGGATCACGTATGGAACGTCAACATAAATATCAGCCGAGCGGAGCCTTTGCAATGTAAACGTGAAACATCCGGCAGTCACGCCCTCCCTTGTGCCCCACATCCTACGTATTTACACTGGTTTGCCAGTTCGACAGCAGCTCCAAGCTTCAATATTGATACCGATAGGAGCGAACACTTACCGGCCCTGGGCGCTATAATGCGCCTTCTTCTCTTTGCAAGACTTTTCGCAGCCCCGCACCGTCTCGTTGAAGTCTGCCTTGGCAGGATGTTCGTCAAAGAAATTCGTTTCCACTTTGTAGCAAAGCGCCTTCTTAGAAACTGTAGCATATGGAAGCGCGTTGCCATCACACTGAGTTGCATAGTTGCATGGTGAAACCTGCTGCCAGATTGCGGCTTCAAAGAGAACAAAGCACATTAAGCAACTGGATTTCAGTGCTACATGAAGACGTATTTTGTCATAACGGTGGGTTCACAGTCTGCCATGTAACAGATTATGCTGGACGTTCCAAACCGTGATAGCTCGTTTGCGATGCCTCGGGATAGCGAATGGATCGCAACATGCGTCGGACATCAACGTACTTTTAAAGTCACTTAATCGAAAACATGCTTGCAGAAAAAAATCATAACATACAGTATGACATAAAATCGTTGTTGGAATAGGAAACTGGCACGCCAGTTTTCATGCATCGGCACGAGCACAAGCCTGAAATACATTTTTACGAACTTTCAAGAGAACTTATAGCTGCGGAAATTTCCCACAGGACCTCCTGACCCCCAGCAGCTCCACATTCTCACCATACACACCGCTGAGCTCCACACCCCCCACACCCTCCGTGTTCTCCACGCAGCCCACCTGCGCACGTCTGCTTGTCGGCGGCGAGCGCCCAGCCGGGCACGCACGAGCAGCTGCTGTTGGCTCCGGCCGACTCGCAGATTTGGCCGCATACCAGCCCTGACGGACCGCACGTGTCCGCCCATGCCCCTGCCCGAGCAGCGCCATCACGTGAGAGAGGAGACACACAGACCAACTCTGGCGGACCGCACACACCCGCCCACGCCCCTGCCCGAGCATCGCCATCACGTGAGAGGGGAGGCACACAGACCAGCCCTGACGGACCGCTCACGTCCGCCCCTGCTCGAGCAGCGTCATCACGTGAGAGGGGAGGCACACAGACCAGCGGCGTCCTTAACCATGCTCTCGCGTATATTTATGAGTGCACACTTGAATATATATGCACATATTTCTCTCTCCCTCACCCCTCACCCCAACTCCTCTGTCTCTCTGTCTGTCTGTTCGTCTGTTTGTCTCTCTCCTCCCTCCCCTCCCTCTCTCTCCTCTCTCTCTCTCTTCTTTCTCTCTCTTCCTCTCCTCTCTCTCTCTCTCTCTCTCTCTCTCTCCTCTCTCTCTCTCCTCTCTCTCTCTCTTCCCTCTCCTCTCTCTCTCTCTCTCCTCTCTCTCTCTCTCCCTCTCCACTCTCTCCCTCCCTCTCTCCTCTCTCTCGTCTCTCTCTCCCTCCTCTCTCCTCTCTCTCTCATCTCTCCCCTCCTCCTCCTCTCCTCCTCCTCTCCCTCTCTCCTCTCTCTCTCTCTCCCTCTCCTCCTCTCCTCTCCCTCCTCTCTCCCTCCCTCCTCCTCTCTCTCCTCTTCTCTCTCTCCTCTCTCTCTCTCTCTCTCTCTCTCTCTCCTCTCTCTCTTCTCTCTCGTCTCCCCTCTCATCTCCTCTCTCTCTCTCTCTCTCTCTTCTCTCTCTCTCTCTCTCCTCTCTCTCTCTCTCTCTCTTCTCTCTCTCTCTAAACCACCTGGTCGCTAAGATCGCAGCGGCTTCGTTTTGCTTATTAACCCTTTCGAGATGTAGTTTGATCTTTGCGGAATAAGTTGCCCTACTTCTGGGCTGTGTTTGTTTGATGGAAGAACTCAAAACCAATGCGAGAAGAGTCCAAGTAACTGCAACGCCAATTGACGTTTTTATGTTCCATCAGCTTTAACCATACAAAGATTACAGGCTCTACGAACAAGAAACAAGATAAAAATGGATGGATTAAGTACTAAAAAAATATGACATTTATCAAAAACCACGGATACCAAAAGTGGTTATTATTAAACTTATGCGAACAGGTTGTTAAGACATTGGTCATCAGGAAACTTTGCGCTTTGAGAGTTGCAGAGTGTAACAAAATGTGGCCATTAACAGTTACCTTGTTCAGCAGTCGATCAAGACATGCGCGGAGATATCACCAAACTTGCCCGAGCCCGTACTGCTGCTACTGCAGACATTTCAGCCCAACAAGCTGTACTTCAAGAATACCATGTCTCAGGACTACACGGCCGGTTGAAAAGGTCATCTGATCAATCTTCAGGAGCCCAGGGTTAGGTCAGCGGCAAGCCAGCGTCGCCAGGGCACCAGCTGAGGCGTCGCTAGGGCACCAGCTGAGGCTGTCGCAGGGCACCAGCTGAGGCGTCGCCAGGGCACCAGCTGAGGCGTCGCCAGGGCACCAGCTGAGGCGTCCCCAGGGCCCCAGCTGAGCGTCGCCAGGGCACCAGCTGAGGCGTCGCCAGGGCATCAGCTGAGGTTAATTATCTTAATTAAGTTAATAGAGTTAATTACCTACCAGAGTCCGTCACACGGTCCCCGCTTATGGAAAACAACCGGCTCGTGACACACGCCTTCTCAAACAATCCAACGTACTACACAGTGACAAGCGCCCTTTCGGACGCCTGCCCTCCACCCGAACTGCCATTGCGCCGGATTGACGACCACATTACTCAGTAGATGCATCACAACATATGTTCGGCACGGCAATCCAAAAACGAATATGAAATCTCCACCATGCCCAGCGAGTTACCAGGCAACAGCTGGTAGATGCCCTTACAATCGTTAACAGGTGCCGCAATGTCAGGCAGCTACTTGTGCTCGACGCTGTATGCATACATAGGCGCCATGGACCCATCTACCAACAGGCAAGTCAACGCGCGGGGAACCCCAGCCGGCTACGGGGGAACCGTAACCACGCTGGATTTGATCCCCGGACGAAGCTAGCATGCACGTATTGTGCACTTGGAAAAATATGTAACTTTACTGGGAGGTAAATTTACTATTTGAAATTAGTTTCCATTGTTTTTTGCCGGCACAGTATAAACAGCCTTATTCCCCGCAGAATCAGCAGGAGAATGGAGAGATTGACGGGATATTTGGGCTACATGCCTTTATCAAGACGAATTCGTTTCGAACGGCCTACTCAACAACTTACGAAATCATTTTTGTATTACCTGTGGGTGCCTAGTACGTGTTGCGTGTTTGTGAATAATGAAAAATGAAAAAACAAATACGCTGCGCTTTATATTTGTCATCCAACCTACGGCGTTGTAGCCTTGACTTTTCCGAAGAAGAATAGCTAGACATTCTATCAGTTAATCACAAAGTTTGGTGGGTGTTGCCTCACCTTACTCTGTGCGATAAATGTGATTCGGGTTATATGTCTAGAAAATGCAAACGGTTGACGAAACGCTGAAGGAATATGTGAAGTGTAACAGGAATTCAAACCTCCTGTACTCCTCTCGCAACGGGTGTTGCGTCTATCCCAAGACCAGGACAGTCTAGAAAGCAAGCGCTTAGTGCGCCAGATAAGAAATATATTTCGGAAGATGATAAATAACAAAGTCACGCTTATTTCTAACAACCAGTGTTTATTAAACCATCCGATTAAAAAAACGCACACACACACACACACGTATATATATATATATATATATATATATATATATATATATATATATATATATATATTACTCTTATTAAGCATTATATATATGGCTCTATTCGGACGCTGAAATTGTCAAAATGTATCGTGGTCTGTTGGTGTTTGTCCACACCAGCGATTAGAGGACATTGTCTTGAAAACAACTTTGAGACACTTATCGATTGAGCTGTCCCGCACTTCATAATCTATCGCTTAATGAGAGTTATTGCCAATAAACGATGCGATGGAGACGATTAAATCGATAGACAGCGGAGCAGAACGACAGAAATAGCTTTCAATAGCCTGTGCTGAAATTGAAAGGAGGAACCTTTGAACGGACGAAATTTGCATCATTTTTGTACGATATTGGGCCTGATCTAGCATTTAACATTAAAGTGAAGCTCTGATCGCGACGGTCAGGCTAGCCCGCAAATTAAGAGAGCCTCAAAAAAAGAAGCTATCTTTGCTAAATTTACATTGCGTTATCTTAAAAGAATTGGTTTCGTGAGAACGAACAAAGCAAGAAGCACCACGCAGTGAAACCTTCAAAGTGGATATTTTGTGGACGTGCACTTTGAGCGCTTTGGACGCGCATCCTGTTGTCTCAAGTTGCTGAATCTTACCGAAATTTACGCGTTGCGACAAGATGGTACCAGCGACTTGAACATTTCTCTTGCCATGAGTTTATCCGCAACAACTGTCATCCATTGCCGAATAGTATGGATGGTGTAACCATCCACGCGGAGTTTGTTAATTTTAATTCCGTAATCACTTGTAGCAAAGACATTGGGCAACTACGGAAAAGGGGCGTCCTGGGAGCTTTCCAAAAATTTTCCAAAGTCACGATCCAAAAAGCAGGTTTTCAACATCCATAAAATCTTGAACACTTGAAATGTTACCACTTTGCTCTCTATCTTCGGCCGCAACGCTGTCGACTAATGCACCGTCATGATGACAGCACTACTGCTGTATGCTCGCCTCCCATCAGGCACCACTGCTGTATGCTCGCCTCCCATCAGGCACCACTGCTGTATGCTCGCCTCCCATCAGGCATTACTGCTGCATGCTCGCCTCCCATCAGGCACATGCTCAGCAAACGCACGCCAAATGATCACACTGTGACTGCAAGACTGTTGGCAAAGACGACGCCAAACGAATCGCCGCTCCATATGCGTTAAAATCACCAACACAAAACAGGTGCTCACCTGAACTGCAGCCTGACAAACCGTGATGGAGACGGAATGAAGTACTGGACGGTCCGCTGCAAATGAGTTGTGAAAGCGAGGAAATTCGCTTGCCCGCAGTCTGCCCGTACAACAGCCCAGGTGTCACCCCTCATCCCTGGACCGCACGTTGTACGCCCTCACTGCGTGCGTCTCCCCCTCCCCGACTCAAAACGCATGCGGGCCTGCCCGAGCCAGGTTTATTAAACGCGCGTCAATCAAAATCAATATTGGTAATCACTATCCTGTCCAATGATGGTCTTGGGGCTGGGCTGTGCTCTTCTCGTGGGGTGAAGCACAACGAACTGGCATACCCTGTAATCCTTTTTTATCTCCGTGATCCAATTTCCTGCCATGCGTTTATCATCAAGATCAATGGATGAGCAAATGAGCAAGTGATGCTGCTATCGTAGCTGCCCCAAACGTAACTTCATGTCTTGTTTAGATTCACCTTTTCACAAGGCATGATGTGTAGCTTATATTCAAAATGGCCTATCAAATAGTGGATATGTGTTTCACTGGTGTCTTCGAAAAGTATTATAGCATTTAAACGAGACCAATGAGATGCTAGGCATGCTTGGCATCATGTCATCAACATGAGTGGGGGCGGGCGTGCGTAACAAGGTAGACTTAATGTATCCAGACTGGAAACGTCGCACACAGCAAACGATAGCGCCACGTGCCTCGCCATCTTACCGGTGAGACACATCAAGAGGGTCAGCACGCGCCTCGCCATCTTACCGGTGAGACACAGCAGGAGGGTCAGCACGCGCCTCGCCATCTTACCGGTGAGACACAGCAGGAGGGTCGGCACGTGCCTCGTCATCTTACCGGTGAGACACAGCAGGAGGGTCAGCACGTGCCTCGTCATCTTACAAGTGAGACACAGCAGGATGGTCAGCACGTGCCTCGTCATCTTACCAGTGAGACACAGCAGGAGGGTCAGCACGTGCCTCGTCATCTTGAGCCAGTGATGGATGGTCGAGGACTCGTGATCGACTGCCCCCTGGGACGGTGTCCAGCCAGCGGCCGCGCCTGTCGCGCCACCAGCGGAGAAAGACGGAACTACCACTAGCAGCCCCGCACCTTATATCCAATGCCGTTGGGCGGGGTGAATCGTAGACAACTGGACACGGTCTTCTGTTGGCGACAGGTTAGATCCTCGCATGCGGGATATCCCACTGTCCTCAGCTCATCGAGTGTTCCGGAACTTTCCACATCGCCAGCTGACATACCTCCACTACGCGGCCCTGCTCTCCTTCCACCTACTCTGTGATAATCTCTGCTCGATGTCTCTTCCACGGGCAATAACAACCGCCATTGTCTCCTCCACTGGTCCGTGCGACGGAGCTCCTGCGGCGCGCCGACCCGGCGACCCCATCCCCGCGCGGTCGGCTCCACGACTTAATAAAGGTGTTGACGAATTGTTGCACTGCACTGGCTATTTACGACGTTTTGTCTAATTTTATGCGTTTTTACTCGTGGATATCCCGCTGGGCGCAATCAACATTTTGACACCTTGCCGGTGCCCCGCTGGGCGGCTGATGGAGGAGCGGGCGGCCGCCCTCTCCCGGGGCGGGCCGAGATCGAGTCGAGAGATGCGAGCTGCGGGTGCTGGGACGGGACGGTGGAGAGCCCGGTTGGGAAGTCCAGACGGAGTGACGAAGAACAGGGACGGAGAGTCAAGGACGGAAAGAGAACGGCCGGGGGTAGGGAGTACAGGACGGGGCGGTGGAAGTCGTAGCTGAGAATCCAGGACAGAACGACAGAGCGTGGGGGACGTGGGGTGGGTCCAGGACAGGGCGACGGAGCGTCGGGACGGGGGTGAGTCCGGGAGGGAGCAACAGCACGTCGGGACGGGGGGGGGGGGGTCCAGGACAGGACCATAGAGCGTCGGGACGGAGGGGGTCCAGGACAGGACGATAGAGCGTCGGGACGGGGGGTGGGTCCAGGACAGGGCGACAGAGCGTCGGGACGGGGGGTGGGTCCAGGACAGGACGATAGAGCGTCGGGACGTGGGGTGGGTCCAGGACAGGGCGACGGAGCGTCGGGACGGGGGTGAGTCCGGGGAGGGAGCAACAGAACGTCGGGACGGGGGGGGGGGGGGGGTCCAGGACAGGACCATAGAGCGTCGGGACGGAGGGGGTCCAGGACAGGACGATAGAGCGTCGGGACGGGGGGTGGGTCCAGGACAGGGCGACAGAGCGTCGGGACGGGGGGTGGGTCCAGGACAGGGCGACAGAGCGTCGGGACGGGGGGTGGGTCCAGGACAGGACGATAGAGCGTCGGGACGGGGGTGGGTCCAGGACAGGACGATCTAGAGCGTCGGTACGGGGGGGGGGGGGGTCCAGGACAGGACGATAGAGCGTCGGGACGGGGGGGGGTCCAAAACAGGGCGACAGGGCGTTGGGACAGAGATTCGAGGACGGAGCGGTGCGAATCGAGGCGGGACATCTAGAAAACGGCGGCAGATCGAAGAGGCTGGAAGTTCAGAGCAAAGAGATGGGGGACCGACCAGGAGTCCAGGACGAGGGCAGAGAATCCGGTGCCAAGGCGGAAGATCGGAGGTACTCAGGTAGTCCATATCACAGGACTTTGGTACTTCATTCAGTACGGACCGTATTTGCTGACAAATCAAATACCACACAATTTGTTACTACGTTACGACATGAGCGCCTGCCAAAGAGGCTCATCGCATGGCGTCACCACCACAACTTGTCTTCATGCCGCAGGAGCCAGCGGTCAGCCCGCAACCCTCCCCCTTCCCTCCGCCTCCTCAAGCACTATTACGGCCGGGCATATTAGCTCGCGCCATACATTTGGTTTATGACGCGACAAGGGATAAAAGTCGGCTGGGTCTGCACCTGATCTGACTAGAAGGAGCACAGCGCAGAGGCGCCGAGCCGGGTGGACCCCTCTGATCGTGAGTGTTATGGCTGTTCCCCATCGTTTCATCGTCAGTGCCACTGGTATTTCTATGGCTTAAGCGCCATGGCCGTTGACGTGTACACGCTCCATTTGCACCCATCAGCGTATTATTGTCTTTTTTATCCTTACATGGGATCAAGACCTGGTCTTTTCTGTCGTAAACTTGCGCTGTGCGATGGCCTCATTTTCATCGAAGAGCTGCTAAAAGACTGCGTGCCGTATTTATGTGAGATCAACCTGGCTCGAGGTGGGAGCGTCGGAATACTCTCTTTACGGAATGTAGTTACGCGATGAATACTGATAGGAATTGAATGATCCCATTTGAACGACGATAGAATGATTTAAACCATCGCAAATGGTAGTAAGGTAACATTTTGTCGAGTCAATATTAAGACGATCACCTTGGCGCAAATTACGATAGCCACTCGAACTGCATCGATTAAATGCCTGTCAGAGTTTTCGTCCATGGTGACACGGATAGAGGGCCAGCAGTTTTTGCGCTGCATATGGTGATTAGGATACCTGGAGGCAATTTTGATTGTGATGTCTTCTCGCTCATATCTCTGAAAAAGGTTGTGTCAAGGTGGGCAAAAACAAGCGTGGGTAAATTTTCAATGCCAATGTACGATTCCTTTGTAGCTATCTGGAACTGAATTCATATCCCCGTGTTAGTTAATCTCGTAACATGCGCGCTGCGATTTATAAAGCATTACTGACAGTGAGCTCGATCTGGCTGTTTAGCACTTGTTAATAACGCCCCCGCCAAGGTGGCTGGGTGAATTTTCTGGACCATTACCAGTCTTCAGTTGATATTCAGGATTTTCATGCCAGTCACCACGCACTTTCTCCTGATTCCGTCCTACAACACCTATGCTCATCGTCTTTGCGCTTCATCGTCGTGTTGTCTTGCCTCTAGTATATGTGAATTAGTTCTTTGCAGGTAACATATTGGCCTGCAACAGTACGGTGCTCTTTGATGCAATGACAGACTAGGGGCGAGGAAAAGTGCACATGGGGGTGGAGGGGCGGGAGGCGTGATGCACATCCACTTATCATGACAGCTTAACACATGTTTGCTGATTACGCTCATTCTGAAAACGGACTTGATCCACGCACTTTTTACAATCCTCTTACTCCGGTGAGTGCCAACACATGCCTCGACGCATTTTGCATACAAGGCCAGTTTTGCCGTGGCCACACCGGGGTGATGTACATTTCGACCGGTAGCTGCAACAGCCAACGGATGACGGTGAGTTGTGACAGGGCCAGGCCCGTGATGCAACCTCTGGCTCCAAATGTTTATGATAATTGCATATGAATAGTACAGCACTCCACAGCCCACAAGCGCTAATGCACCAGTAGATGAATGACTTTGAGGCGGTAAAGCCCATGTCTCAGCTCCAATCTATGAGATAACGCGATAAGGAGGCGATGGAACCGTTTGAGGCGGCATGCATTGCTAATGTATTGCAGCGGTTTATGGGGTGAGATATTTCACAGCGTGCTGCAAGCACAAGCGTGTGCCACTTTCAGTACAGGTAGGCGCGCTATCTAGTTATCTCCAATATGCACTTAGTGAGGGTATTCCTATCCTTCACAGGTACAAGTGCTAAATCATCGGAAAGGGTCGGGAGTAAGAAGGTGCATCAATGCACACCACACACACGTCAACGTTGACGCACCTGGTGATGATGGGCACATGCTACAGTGTTTCCCTCGTGGGTTACCCAAGTTGAGCGGGCTTATTTCGAGATCCAGCCATCTGCGTGTCCTTTCGTTAGGCATTGCCTTTGCTAGCAGCGACGTGTTTCGGCAGACGCGGGGTTTCAGTGGTGTTCTGGATTACGGCGCATGCGATCAGCGAAACCCTGCCTTCATTTCGCCGTCCTCAGGCTTAGCATTGCCCGACCGAATGCTATAAACGTTATTTATTGGATGACGAAGGTACATGTGTAACAAACAACCCTTATCGCGCTTTTTCAGTTTCTGGTTTTTTTGTCATGCAGGAATTTCCATGCTCGAATGGTGAGGGATGATCGATTTATTCAGCTTTTGTCGTCACCCCAAAGTCAGGCGGGACAAAGACAGGGGACAGGTGGGGTGGGGCTGTGGGGGCACAGGGAAAGGCGGGGCGAGGCTGCGAAGCTCAGGGACAGGCGAGGTGGGACTGTGGGGACAATGGGACAGACAGGGCGGGGCTACGGGAGCTCAGGACAGGTGAGGTGGGACTGCGGGGCCATAGGGGCTGGCGGGGCGGGGTTGTGGGGCTCAGGAATACGCGGGGGTCGGGTAGTGCTGCGAGGAGCGCAGGGACGGGCAGGACGGAGCTGCGGGGCGCAATCATCACCAGGAACTACCGTGGGCGGCATGTTCCTCAGGGCAAAATTTTAAGTAAGGCCACGTTGGTCAGTAATCTCCACTGACCTTATTAAGGTCAACAGAGTAATCTATTGACATCCCTATGATCAAGGACTTCAAAATGAGCAAAAACAAGCCAGCGAAAGGCCAGGTATCCCGTAAAACCACGGTTTCTCTTGAACTTGATTTGAACTGTGCATGTCCAAAGGACCAGCGAAATTTGTTGGGATCCCAGTCTGAATAGTCTTATCGTATAAGAAGCCGTCGTTCAAACTGTTGTGGCTTCGTCTAACACTTTACTGTCTTCTTAGCTTGAAAGGTTCCCTACGCATTGCCTTCGTTGACAGCCATAGCCCAACTTTGGTCTGCTGCAGGTCAAGATGTGCTATTAGATGCCTATACCATGCAAAGTTTAACGGTAGCCGCGCCGCAACGTGTGGAAATTATTCTTTGAAAAAAAGTCAAGGCTCAACTGACGATTTTCCATCCCACCCGACCGGTGGTGTTCACGTTCGATTCCCTCACTTTGCAAAAATAAATTGGCATAAATGCGGGTATTGAAAGTAGTCATCTGAAGATTTTCCAAGCTCATCGCTACCGCACATAACCCAGACTGCTTCTACAAAATTAGAACCCCGTCGTGTAGAATTCGGAGCTACTTCGATGTAACCAATTCCACAACAACTTACCCAGATCTAAAGT